CAAACAAATCAAACCTAATTGCTTGCCCCCGTGCGTCCAACGACTCTTTTGCAAGAGGACATTGTTTAGTCCATTCTAATGTGAATACAAACTAGCACTTAAGTCTCCACCACGAGCAACAAGTCAATGTTTAATCACTAAAATACGATTTAAACACCTATTCAATATAACAAACCAACAAATCATAGTCTTCCCCCTCCAAAATATGAAGCTTTTAGTTCCTCATTGTACTTGAGAATACGTAGAAGTGAGACTCGCAGTCTCGTCAAGCACCCTAATAAAAACCTTTTTGTGACCCTTTTTTTTCCTTTTGCATTTTTATCACTCTAAGAAAACAGTTAACATAATCTAACATTCAATCTTAAATCTAACTAAAAGGTTTCTGTTGATTACAGCGGATGCGAGGAGTGCTAATACCTTCCCCTTGCGTAATCGACTCCTAAACCCGAATATGTTTGCGACGACCGTCTTCATTTTCTTTAAAGGGTCTTATCAATATTTTCTCTTTCCTTCTTTGAAATAAATAAATTTCGGTGGCGATTATGTTCGAATCAATTTTCCACGAGCGCATGATACGCTTCGCGAAGGATCATATTTTTTGAGATGCGGCACATACAATACAAACACATGCAAAATACACAACAAGGTCAATAACACCAACAATTTAACCCTTATTTTCAATAAGTATCATACACCAACCCATCTAAGTCATACTCATACATACAACCTACATCTCAATAACAATTTCGAGACAACCCAATAACAATTTCCATTTTATCCAACACAACCAATCATTTCAAGAATAACACCTCTACTACCCCTCCATTGACACATCAACCCAAAAACAACACAACCAAACTTTCATTTCATAGGCAATGAATTAAATTTCGAGAGCACGACCAAAGACACATTCTTCTACAAGATCAAAAATTTCATATTTTCTTCGGGTGAAGCGATAACTTCTTTTCAACCACCATATAATGTTGAGAACCAACAAAGATCGTGTAGGAGTAATGGATAATGAACATCTCTTTGATGTGAAACCGACAGTCACCTGCTAGAATTTGGCCAAAGAATATAATTTTTATTTTTCATAATTATGTAATGAAGTTTAATTATTTTAATTATAATATTATTTTATTTTAATATAATAATATTTTTTATTCAAGTATATAACATAACTTTTTTATAAAGAAATTATTTATCATCCAAAAATAAAATGTTTGAATAAAACAATGTTGTTTGAAAATTTTAGTGGAATATGGTGTATTTTAGAAATATCTGAAATTGTGTGATTTTTTTAAATAATTATATTTTTTAATTAAAATACCATAATAACCATCTTTCTCTACAATTTAACTAAAATATTCATATTTTAAGCAAAATATTTTAAAGTAAAAAGGAGGCGCCACTGGCCAAGGATGGATCCAATTTTAGTTAGAGGGGGCAAAAATATATATACCATTATAAATATTTATAGAAAAATATATCAATATTAAAATAATAAATTATTGTGTATAAAAGTTTAAAATATAAAAAAAATTATTTTATGTCTGAAAAATATATACAAAAAAAATTCAACGTGTTATTATATTTTAAAATTATTGAATAATTTTTTCTTTTATTTTTGTTTTTACTATGTAACAAAACAACCATTAAATAATTTATTTATACTTAGTTCTTCAACGTGGGGGCATTAATTGTGTTTCATTGCCAGAAAAACAAACATTTTAAAATAATTTATAATAAAATAAGTAACTTGGTGGGGCAGCTGCCCCCAATATTATACATGTAGATTCATCCCTGCAACTGGCGCATGCACTAATAATAGAACATATGTGTCACACATACTGGCAAGTGCACCACCAATGCGCAGATGGGTCTGGCGCATGTGTTATTGTCCAAAGAGGAGGCGTTAAATCATGTATTGTTTTTTTAATTAAATTAACAACTAAATAATAATTAAAAATTTGTGAAATAAAAAAATTAAATACTACTTCCTCTGTCTCATAGTAGGTGTTTTCTTTAAAATTTTCACACTTTTTAAGATAATGATTGATTGTATTGATTTCAATGATAAAATAAATATAATTTACTGAAATAACCTTATTAATAATAGGTAGTGGAGTAGTTACATGATTTAAAATACAATAAATAAGAGTAAGTTACTGGAAAAAAAATATCACATTTATATTCTAAAGGGACAAATAATTTGAGGCAATTAAAAATAGGAAAGATGACACCTATTATTAGACAGAAGGAGTAATATTTTTTAATTAAAACGAAATTACATGCAGGAAAATTTTGTACGCATATTTTAACGTTCTGCTTGATCATAACAGTCATCGGTTCCACACTTCGATGCTTCCCTTTACTGTTAAGGTCTCCCACGATTCTCTTGAGGTGTTTACTGCCTCCCAGAATTCACATGAGGTGTTTAGTGTGAGGTCTCGAGGATATTAATGTTATTCATGAAATCTAGCATCTCTTGCCACCTATATTGAGACGCGTTGTGGTAATCGAGTTCGGTGCTCATATTGTCATAATTTGGTCGTGCTGGTTGGGTTACGGGTAGGCGGGTTAGTCAGTTGAACTAGAACGTTAATTTGTTTTGGTAACGAAACAATGATTTTCAATTGGGTGGGAGGGTTGATCGGTTAAGTGAGAAGATGTGTGGAAAATTCTGGGGAATGAAGGACCTATTTATAAAAAATGTAAATACACATAGGCTTCAAACCTATTGACGCCTCCTCTTTGGCCCACAACATATACGGAGGGCCTATTGGCGCATTTTTTCTTCTTCTAAGTCGGTTGAAATTCTCAATTTGATCAGTTGTTCTTTGTTGTGTCTCTAAATAAGTCTTCTAGTACTCATCTCACTCATTCTTCTTGAGATTCTTCATATCTGCTTCTAAGGTCTTGCCTTCTTCCTTGGTAGTTGTGGATATATGAGCCCTTTCTAGTTTCTTATATTTCTGCTTCTCTTTCCTAGCTTGTTTCTTCATCAAATTGCGTATCTCCCTTTCAAAATCTCCCTTGTCAGCCTTGAATTGTTTTGCTATACCCATGTTTTGATGCAAAGAAAAACTCTTCAAGAAGAATGTGATCTGGTTGATAATATTGCATCTGCTTTTATAGAGAAGTTTTGGCCAAACTCTTATCTGTCTTGACAACCATGTTCTTTTGAGCCGTGTTCTTCCTTGAAGACCATGCTGTCATAATCTAACTTTGACTATCTTAAAAAATGTGGTACAAATGCTTATCAATCACCAATTCAGTTTCTCTCTCTCTCTCTCTCTCTCTCTCTCTCTCTCTCTCTCTCTCTCTCTCTCTCTCTCTCTCTCTCTCTCTCTCTCTCTCTCTCTCTCTCTCTCTCTACTTTTCTGCTTTAATTATATCTTTGTTGGTGACAAAAGGGAGATAAATTCATGAGAGTATTTAAAGAGATTAAAAGTATTTTGAATACTTTTAAACTCCTGAACCCATATTATTATTGCTTTTATCTGGATATAATTTTTTATTATGCTATAAGATAAGTTTAATTAACTTGGATAGGATTTAGGGGGAGCTTACAAAACTCAACCTTTGAACTATTAGACTCAGGGAGAGCTTACAAACTCCAGACTCTGATGTTGTCAAGTTAGTTAAACTGACCAACCACTATTTTTAAATACATTTGTTTGTCATCATAAAAAATGGGGAGATTATTGAAACAAAATTGTTCATATTCCTTGGTTTTTTATGATAACAAAGTACTTAAAGAACAATTAGGTATACTAACATATTTTGAAGCATATAGGATCATAAACTTAAAATTCAACCTAGAATTAACCCTGATGAAAGCATATGTAGAGAAGCTAATGGACTCAGATTCTAAAAGATTAAAATTTGATGATTCTGAACGTGATGTATCAGCTTCCGAAAGATCATAATATGATCAAGTTTTTCATATTTCTAGTTACAACTCAGACTCTGAAGAGTTCGGCTAAAGGTACTTAGCTTTTGATTCATACTCTGTCTCCAAAATAGACAAGTATTATCAAATGTCAGATAATAGAAAAAGCCAACTAGGATTTCGTTGTGCAAGACTCAAGAAAAGGTGATGTAACCTCTTAAGTCTGTCTCAATCTTTTAGTAGATATCTGGTATGAGAAAGACACTATAGACTTTACTATTATTCAATGTACAATAATCTTAACCGAATTCATCTTTCAACGTCTATTTATTGACGCCTTCTTATTGGTCTACAACACATGCGTCAGATCTATTACCGTATTGATAATGCATGCGCCAGTGAGTGTGACGCTTAAGCGTTTTTCTTAAATGCATGTGCCAGTATTTATTTACTGCAAAAAAAAATTATTTGAATTTGATATATATAGTAGAAAAAGATGGTTATTATAGTAAAAAAATTAAAAATTTTGATCATTCTTAAAAAAAATTCGAATTGTGTAGCATCATAGAAAAAATTCTGAAAGTTTCAAGTGGAAAATTTTAAGGATGTAGTGAAATTTTTAGGTCTTTTTTTTCCGAAAAGATAAGAAAGGTTAAAGTGGAAATAGAGAAAGGGAAGGGGGGAGTTATCAGTTAGGTGGATGATTAGAGGCATTTAAAATCACCGTTTCTCCCAGTCGCATCCGCGGCGTCTTTACTCAAAACCGTCACGTATGGTAACATGGAGATTCCACAATACTCTCCATCATAACCTACTCACTGCACCACTCCTTTCATCACCGTCCGATTCATCAAAAACATCAACTTCACACCATACATCACATCTCTTATCATGGACCTTACCACATAGGATAGAACAGATAGAGTAGAGGTACGGTTGATGGAAACATTGATGAATAACAGCTGTAAACAATTAAGGTTCCCATGTTTGGCGCTTACAACATGTGACTTCTGGTTCTTGTCTCTGTCTCACTTTTCCTTTTCCCTCACACAACAAAACAAAAACATCATACTTTTCTTTTCTCACTCTTCTTCTTCGTCTCATCATGGCTTCCTCTACTCCTCTCAATCTCATTCTAACCATTCTACTATCTCTCACTCTTTTCACCATCATCAACATTCACGTTGATGCACAGATCGAAGAAACAACCTTGAACCTTAGCTCTGATGTTCTAGAATGGCCGACAACAATGTCATCACTCTACAGTGAACTAGATGAAGAGCATGAAGAAGACATAGACAGTGATTTCAGTCGAAGATCTTTGTTCTGGAGTAGAGTGAAATACTATATCTCTTATGGTGCTCTTGCTGCTAACAGAATCCCTTGTCCTCCTCGTTCTGGTAGATCTTATTACACTCACAAGTGCTATGAAGCTAGAGGACCTGTTTATCCTTATACTAGAGGCTGTTCTGCTATCACGCGATGCAGAAGATGAAATCATGAGGTTTTGTTTTTTAATTCTATTCTCAGATCGAGAATTATTTAAAATTTTAAGTTAGGTGAAGTTTGCGTAGCTTTATTGTTAAGTTAATTAAAGCATTATTAGCTGTGCTTAATTTGGGTTAGCAGCATATTGTGTATTATGTGTTTGAACACTGAGTGGATTTCAAACTGTGATTTGTTTTTTGTGTATGATGTGTTCTTCTTTTATGGATTTAATTTGTAGTACTATATGGACTGCAGAAATGAATGTGTATGTATTTTGTGTTACTTCATGGCCATTCGTTTATATGTTTGTATAAGTAGTAGTAAATTGAGCATATAAAAATGGAACAAATTTGAATTAGTTAATAAGGGTGGAGAATAGGTTGGACGGGCTTTACTTAAAAAAACATACTTAAATAAAGTAAAGCTCCAATATGATATATTATCCTTAAAAGAAATTATTTTAGGGTATTTTTTTCCCACCCATAAAGGTGTTAATTCACCATGCCAAAAAGTCACAAATTATTGGATTTCGGAAATGCATTTTTTTTAGATGCATTTAAATATCACACCCCTGATGTTTTAGTGAATGAGTCACCTCATTTTTGTTTAAAAATATTTTTGGAGATCCATCTCTATAATAATTTTTAATTTAAATTCAGTGTTTTATGTTTAGTGAATTTTGTTAAAACAACATACAAAAAATAGAGATTGAAATTGAGAGAGAAAGAGAATTAGGGTAGAGAGTATTATTGGATGAATTAAAATTGGCATTAATTGAAATTGGAAATTACAAAATGTATTTATACACTTGAGAGAATAATCCAAAAAAAAAACCAACTAAAGTGGTCACGCTGTTAAATTCAAGTATTTGCTGAAATTTGATCAGTGGTAATCGATTACACCTGTTAAATTTCCAAAAATACCAGAATTTAACAGCTTTCAACCCACCACCTCACTTTAGTTGCTCCAAGTTCATCATGCTCAAGCTCTTCAACAGTCTCTTGAACACCTCATTTGTCACACCCTTTGTCAACAAATTCGCAACTCGGTCCTCGCTTCGGCAATAACTCAATCTAAGCTTTCCATCACTGACCAATTCTCTCAAGTAATGAAACCACATCTCAATATGCTTGCTCCTTCTGTGTGCAATCGGATTTTTCGCAAGATTTATCGCGGAAACATTATTCACAAACAGTGTGGTAACATCATCATCACCACATCTCAATTCCTTCATAAGATTCACAAGCCACATAGTTTGGCACGCACTCAACAACGCCGCAATGTACTCGGCCTCACAAGAAGAGAGTGCTACAACCGGTTCCTTCTTTGAACACCATGAGATTGGTGTACTACCGAACATAAAGATGTAACCCGCCGTCGATTTTCGATCATCTTTATCTCCGCACCAATTAGAATCGGCGTAGCCAAGTAAAGTACATTTGCGACCCATATCCGATGCGGGAAAAAGAATTCCGCAACCAAGAGTGCCTTTCACGTATCTAAGGATTCTCTTGACCGCTGCCAAGTGAGACACCTTAGGTCTCTCCATGAATCTACTCGCAATACCGACACTAAAAGCCAAATTCGGTCGAGTATTGCACAAATACCGTAACGATCCAATCAAACTTCGGTAAAGTGTTGGATCAACATCATCTTCATCATCACTTTTGGACAGCTATACTCTAGCCTCACAAGGTGTAATACAAGCATTACAATGCTCCATCTCACACTTTTTCAAGATATCTAAAGCATACCTCCTTTGATGCATAAGCAGCCCCACTTTTGACTTGTGAAACTCTATGCCAAGAAAGTAACTCACGACCCCAAGGTCCGTCATCTCAAACTCACTCATGAGCTCCCCTTTGAACCTTGAAATACTCTTGGCATTGTTGCCCGTAATCAAGAGATCATCAACATACAAGCATAGTATAATAACACCATCAATATTATCCGATAAACACCATGTTCGGATACACATCGTTTGAAACCGATGTCAACAAGAAAGTCGTTTATACGTTTGTTCCAAGCTCTTGGAGCTTGTTTCAAACCATACAACTCCTTGTGTAGCTTGTAATACATCCTCTCTTGATTTTTAATCACGAAACCGGGTGGCTGCCCCACATAAACTTCCTCATCAAGAGGACAATTCAAAAACGCAGATTTTACATCCATTTGGTAAATCACCCAATTGTTGTTATACACAATCCCAACAACCAAACGAATAGTCTCCAATCTAGCCACCGGTGTGAATACCTCCTTGTAATCTATACATTCACGTTGCAAGAACCCTTTCGCCACTAGTCGAGCTTTGTGCTTGATTACTTCACCTTTAGGATTTGTTTTAACTTTATAGAGCCATCGCACACCTATCGGTTTCTTTCCGAGTGGTAAATCAACCAACTCCCAAGTACCATTTTTCTCAATAGATTCCAGCTCCTCTTTCATTGCACGTATCCATTTAGGATCGCTTAAGGCTTCCTCCTCATTTGTCGGTTCAGATTCGGTCATAAGCGCGAAATGAACAAAATCACCATCATTATTCACTTCGTTATCTTGGAACATCTCGTAGTCTCGGAGTCTATGAGGCAAGGCTTTTTGCCTCACTGGTCTACCATTATTCACGACAACATTTTCCGCTATTGTAGGTGCAGGTACAGCGGCATCGGAACCCTCCGGATCAGACAACTCGAAGAATTGTTGTTGTTCTGCAAGGTGTAACTGATTAGCAGCAATCAGGTAATCAATTACACCTGTTGTTTCAGCAGTTTTTATTTCTTCAAAAAATACATCCCGGGTTATCACGATTTTCTGATTCTTCTCATCAAATAGCTTGTAACCTCAAGTAGAGTGATATCCAATAGATATCAACTTCTCACCTTTATCATCCAACTTCTTTCTAAGTTGATTCGGTACATGACGATATGCAATCGGTACAAAAAAGCGCAAATGATTCACACTCGGTTTGAAACCACTTCAAACCTCTTCTGGTGTGATCTTTTCCAGTTTCTTAGTATGACACATATTCAACAAGTAGGTGGTTGTAGACACTTCTCACCCCACAATTCCTTAGGCAACTTCTTCCCACAAATCATACTACGCATCATGTTCATTATTGTACGATTTTTCCTCTCGGCGTCTCCATTTTGTTGAGGCGTATATAGAGGCACCACCTCATGCACAATACCCTCAAGATCATAAAACTTCTCAAACTCACTAGAGGTATATTCACCTCCACCATCCGTTTTGAGAATTTTGAGCTTCCGACCGCTTTGACGCTCCACCATGGATTTGAAACTCTTGAAAACTCCAAATACCTCATCCTTCCTTTTGATAAGATATGTCCAAAGCTTCCTACTAAAGTCGTCAATAAACGTAATAAAATATTGATTGTCGCCATAAGTCTCTACTTGCATTGGTCCACAACCATCGAAATACACCACCTCAAGTAAGCCTTTGGTTCTTCGACCCGCATCCTTGCTAAACACATTTTTGTGTTGCTTACTCTTCACAGATTCCTCACACAATTCTGTCAGAACACTAATATGTGGCAGCCCCGTTACCATTTCACTTTGTTGCAACATTTTGAGATCCCTAAAATTTAGGTGACCAAGACGGTAATGCCATAACCACTCATCTCTACTTGCCGCGGTAGCTAAACAACGATCCTCCATACCTTTAACTCAACCTTAAAAGTTCTATTGGCAGCCATCGGCGCTTTTAGAATCAACACACCACTTGAATCTAAAACGGGTAATATCTTGTTCTACAACCGAATTAAGTACCCTCTTTCAAGTAATTGGCCAATGCTAAAAAGATTGCACTTAATTCCAGGTATGTACAAGACATCTTTGATCCTTGAATGTCCACCATTCTTCCTTCCGATCAAAACATCTCTTATCCCTTCGGCGCTTAAAGTGGTGTCGTCGGCAAACTTGACTTTACTCTTTATCGCTTGATTGATTTCCACAAACCAATCCTTCTGACCCGTCATATGTGTTGAACAACCCGAATCCATGTATCATTCATCTTTACTTTGAACTCCATCACGCACGGTAACTAATGCATTTCGATCCGAATGCGTTTTCTCACCACTTTCCGAAATAGTACAGCTGTTGTCCCGCAAACTATCACCACAGTAGCTGTTGTTCTGAACATCAACAGTGCCATGATTCTCCTTTGTGATCATCACTAGAAGGGTGTCTTCATCATCTCCTTCTTCTCTAGCAACCTTGGCTTCATCATTTCGAGTTTTATTCAATCTAACACGACACATAGATTGAAAGTGTCCAAGCTTTTTACACTTGAAACATTGCACTTTACTCAAATCCCTTTTGATACCATTGCTATGATCACTCTCCTTGGAGCTGCTCTCACCGTTTTCACCTGTCAAATTCTTCGAATTTTGAGACTCGTTTGCACTAAACTTCTGAAAATCTGGCTTACCTCTAGCTGCAAATTTTCCTTTCGACCTCTTATTCTTCTCATTAAAACGCGCTTGCAAAGCGATCTCCGATTTGACTTTGTCGGTACCTCTCTCATCCATCCTTTGTTCATGCGCCTCTAACGAACATTGCAACTCATCCTTGCTCAAAGTAGTTAGATCCTTTAACTCTTCAATAGCCACAACTATATTTGATGACGTGAAATCGTATCGTTTATTTGGCTTGATTTACATACATTTATTTGTGACTATTGTTAATTTATCTTGATTTATGTTCTAGTTTACGGTTAATTTACTTCGTTATGCAGATTGTGGAGAATTTGGATTAAAGAAAGAAAAGAAGAAGAAATGGAAGGAAAAGAGAGAAGAAAAACAGAAAATAACAGAGAAATGGATTTTGTGCGTGTGACGCTCGTCACAGCTTCCTCACGGTCGTCACGACCGTCACGATCGTCACAGACCCTCACGGCCGTCACGTGCAACACGGTCGTCACAAGAGTGTCACGACCCCAAGTTCAGTAACGTGCAAAAACAGAAGTGACCACGAGCACGTCCAACTTAATTTC